GCTGTTGTGCATATTGAATCTTGTATTCAAGTGAGCAACTCTAGATAATCTTTAATTCATTCTAGATCCTCAAGTTTGATTTTTTTTTCCCCACAGCTTTATAGAAGGAGAGTCAACATTCTCCCAAGTAAACTTGTCTGTATCTTAGAAGTTGAAGGTACACTTTATCCTAGTAAAGTGAAGGACTCTTTCTGGTTTGAAACAGTTTGCTGAAGACAAAAAGCATCTCCAGATTTTACTTGAGACTCTGTACCTCTTTAGCTATCTGTTCCTCCACTGATTTGGATGTTGGTACAACACTTCATCTCAAGGCTGGTTCGGTGAAGCTCTTTCCAAATCACATCCTCACCTTTGTTCAACACAAACTCCATTCTACCTCTTTCTTCAGGCTTCTTTTTGTGCAACATCTTAGTGCTCAGCAGATGAGCATAAGCAGTCTGCTTATCTTTCAGGAGCTTTTCATAGTTTGCAATTCTATTGTGTTCCTTACTTAGGACATTCCTTCCAGCACAAACAGCTTCCTTGCTGTTTATTTCTTCAGTTTAGTCACAGTAATTTCATAATTTACATCATGAGAGGCATTTATTATCCAACTTTCTAAGCTTATACTCTTCAGTTTATTTCTTCATGTCATTTCTCATAAGCATTTTGCACAACATATTAGCAGAAGAGGTGACAGTTTTGTCCTTCCTTCTTCTTCTGAGAATTTCCAAACCATAACAAATTTCCTCAATATAATCAGTTTTAGACACTGATGGGGTTTTTTCTCCCAATCCTAACTTCAGGTTCACAGCTTTTTTGTCCTAGTCGGAAAAGAAAAAGCAGAAAATGCACATCATCAAGTTTGGCCATAATTAGCTAATATATAGCCCCTGTCATTTTAGCTGGGCCAAACTTATGACAAAAAAAGACGTGTAGAATGCCTCAAGGAGAGTGTGAGATCTATACAAGTTTCTTCTTCCTACTGGACAATGAATGGTAGTGTGGAAGCATGAAAGTAGGTTGGGAGAAAAGTCAAGAGGACAAAAATAATTGTCACCAAAAATATAGTATGTCTGCAAATGAGTAGAATGAGGAGGAGTATGTACTGTAAAATTCTTTCACACAGAACCAACTCACAATCAAAAGGAGGGACACAGAGCTACAGGTTTCCTGTTTCTATGATTCATTACTTCATCTATCATTTGTTCTCTCAAAATGTTTGAACAGCACTAATCTTTTAATTTTTATGATGTATCTTATTTCTCACTCAATTACAGACTGCAATTTCTGCTATATTTAAACAGAACATCTGAGAATGGGATTATGCTGCTCATGACCTCAAAACTCAGATGATGATGATATTGTCTCTCGAACTATGCTGCAACCTCTGGGCTTGCTGTATCTCTGCCCTCTTTTCTATTTCCAAGTATCTTGTCTTGAAATACCTCATTATACACCAAAGCTTGTACTTTGTCTGTTCCTGCATGCAGAATTTCAGAGTTCTGCTCATAGGCTTATGAGCAATAACATCCCCTCGATCAAGCAAGCTGAAGTATAGGGACTTTAGGTCTCCCAGATTTTTCTATCCTGTAAATTCTGACTAGGCAGTCTGACTATTACATACACTACATGCTAAACTGAAAGACTAAATGGATATACTACCACAGACATCCACACAGATGAAGAGGCTCAGCATATCCTGTTAATAACATACTCAGGAGTTTCTCAAATATTCTGAAACAAGGCTCTCCAATTGTCCCAAATAGTCCCTTCTCTCAAGAAAGCGTTCCTTTATGAACTGTTGCAAACACTTTGCATATTCAAGCTGTAATCTTTTGGTCAGAACTGCTGGCAGGATGGTGAAGTTTTCCTAAATGCACTTAAAGGACTTAAAAATGGTCAGTTGCAGCTGCTACTTTTCACTTGAGCCCCCACTACACATTCCAATAAGCACAACCTGCACTAATACCTACAGAGCAGCCCAATTTCATCACACTTCCTCTTTTCTATTCAAGTTTCTCCAAGATCTGTAAGGACTTAAAAAAGTACAGTTGTCTGTCTCAAATACTGTCAAGGCCACAGAAGGAACTTGCCAGGAAGACTACTGCAGGAATTTGAGATAAGCACAGAAGGGAGAAATTATGACAGGAAGGCACTTATTCCAAGCCTAGCTGAGGAGAGATCTGGTTAGCACATCCTGGTTAACATATCTGGACAAAAATTCCCACTGTGGGGAACTGCAGGAAAGGAAGCAACTGCTTATACACTCCCACCCCAAATTATGGGAACAGCATCTGTGACCACCTCGTGGATACCTGGAACCTGGACTGTATAAAAGTGGTACCCCCAGAAGAACAACTCCAGGACCCCCACCACCAAGAAGCCCAGGGTGAAGAAGGACCAACGGCATGCTGCTGGATCCACAGGTGACTATGTTCTGCTTGACCTTTCTCTCTCCCCACACTGTCTTTCCCATTTCTTTCTATCTCTCTACCTCATATCTACTGTTAAATAAAAGCTGTATTATTGACTTGGGCATATGGTCTCCTTCGCACTGTAATTCGGGCACAGGCATATCTCACTAATCTGATCATAACAAGATCGTAACCTGTTTCCAGGAAAGGATGCTTGTTTGCACCTTTTTCTAAGATGACGATTTTGTTAGATGCCTCTAACAAAACTAAGTGATCCACTACACCTAAGAGGACTAGGAAAAAAAAAAAGAAAAACATTAGGAAAGTACTTTCAGACTGGAGGAGTTTATTGCAGATCTTCTACAGCAAGATGTACTTTTCAAACACATTGACACAGGCTCCTGTGTCCGTACACGAGCTTACCAAAACTTCCTCGCAGCATTCTCCCTTCGGCGCGACAATTAACAACTAAGCTGTACATTAATGCACCAGCAGACCCATCCGGGCTGCCGATCACGCGCACAAGCGTTATTATCGCTTGTCCGCCCCGGTCCCCGCCCAGGCGCAGGGTCGCTCCCGGCTGAGCGGATGACACCTGCAGGACTCCCGTCCGGCCGCGCTGCACACTGCAAGCACCACTCAAATAAAGTCTGTTTTCTCGCTACGTTTTTCTGCCTTGCTATCAGCCCGTTTCCAGGTTTTCCGCCAGCAAGGGGCCAGAGCCCCCCGGCTCCCCGGAGAGGGGCTGCCCGACCCCGGCCCCGCACCCCCGGCCCGGCGGGGGGAACGGGGGGGCGGCTCTCACCGCTCCTCTCCATCCGCACAGAGAGGTCCTGGGAAAGTACAAGAGTGCTGCCTTCCCTCCGAGGTGGGAAATTTAAAAATAACGATTAAAACAAACCAAACCAGAGCACAACGCCGCCGCCAGCCCTGGCGCTGGCGAGCAGCGCGCACAGCTCGTCCCGACAGCTCCGTGCCCCGGCAGTCCGGCGGCCGGGCACCTGCACCCCACCCATCGCACCCAGTCGCGACAGCTACCTGTCCCCCCGCTCTTATCGCGACATACAGGCCTCCGTGGGGCGGGGTGGAGGGGGCGGCAGGCGGGGGAAGGGGCGGGCGGCAGAAGGGGCACTTACCGGGCGTGCAGTGCAGGGGGGAGGCCGGAGGAGGGACGGGTGAGGAAGGGGGCACCGCCGGCAACGGCTCCTTGGGGGCGGCGGCGGCCGCGGGCGCCAGGACGGGGGGCAGCATAAGGTACCGCTCGGGCTTCGGCAGGCAGCGCTGGCACACCGAGTGCAGGCAGGGCAGCAGCTTGGGCCGCCGGCTCTGGATGGGCTGCCCGCACACGCCGCAAGTGTCCAACAGGTTGAGCGGGGCCGCGTCCCCGCCGCGCTCCGCCGGGCCCTGCCGGCTCTCGGCCTCGTTCTCCCCGCTCAGCGCCACCGCTGCCCCCGGTCGATCCGCCGGGCAGGGGCCCCCCGCCGCCGCCGCCGCCGCTGCCACTGCCGCCTCTTCCATTGTCCTGCGCCGGCCGCCGCAGGAGCTCCGAAGGGAGGCGGGGCGGCCCCGCTGCCCCCGCCGCTTCCCGCCCGCGCCGCTGCCGCCGCCGCCTGCCCGGCCCCCGCCCCGCGCGGTGTTTGTGTGCCCGCCCCGGCAGCGGCTGCCCCGCCGCCAACGGCGCCCTGCGACACGCCCCGCGGCACGGCCCGCCCACGGGCACGGGCCCGTAGCCACGCCCGCCCCACCCCGCCCCTTTCGGGATCACGCCCCCCCGCCGCCTCACGTGGGGCGAGCGCTTCCCCGCCCGCCCCCGGGAACCGGCCCGGCCGCCGGCGGAAGCCCCGTCCCGCCGGCCCCGCCCGCACCCCGCTCCCACGGGGCATTCGCTCGCCGCTCCCGGGGGCTGTGACCCCCCGGCCCGCACACATCGCCGAAAGGGCTTCCCACCCACCCGCTGGAGCCCAATGGCCGCGCTCTCTCTTGGCTGGGTGGGCAGCCTGGCTCTGAATGTGAGGAAGAACTTCACTGTCCGGGTGACCGCGCACTGGAACAGGTTGCCCAGAGAGGTTGTGGAGTCTCACTCGCTGGAGAGACTCAAGAACCGTTTCGATGCAATCCTGTGCCATGTGCTGTGGGATGACCGTGCTTGAGCTGGGAGGTTGGACCAGATGACCCACTGTGGTCCCTTCCAGCCTCACACATTCTGTGATAGGCATTTATCCCCTGGGCAGGGTGTTAAAAGAGGTCACCCTTCTCCCTGTTCTGTGTGAATGGCTGTCTATAAGTTTTGGCCTGTGTTCAGTTTGGGGGATCACAGCTATACCACCCCATGCAGCCACGTTACCTGACTGAAGCTAATTGGTGATCGGTACAATTAAGAAGGTACAATGGAAAAGTACAATTCTGGTTTGGACACAACATTTTATTGAATCAAAGACCTTAAGTATTGTGCTGGTGAAGCACTGGAACAGGCTGCCCAGCGAAGTTGTGGATGCCCCATCCCTGGAAGTGTTCAAAGCCAGGTTCGATGGGGCTTTGAGCAACCTGGTTTATTGGAAGGTGTCCCTGCTCATGGCAGAGCTGGGTGGAAGCAGATAATCTTTAACGTCCCTTCCAACCCAAACCGATTCTGTGATTTATGAAGTATGCATGCAGACACAAAGCACTGCTTACACATTGGTTGCTGGTCAATCATAAACTGATACAAACTCCTCAGAATATTCCAGATATCTGTGCTTAAAATCCCAGAGCAGCTAGTGCACTTCCTGCTTCCTTGCAATCCCATCAAGACTCTAACATAGGTCCCACAATAAATAGGACTATAAAAAAGCCGTACATGACAAAAGAGGAATTTCTTCAGCACAAGGAGCATTGTCATGATTCAGCATGTCTCACATCCATAATTTATCATGATAACAGGAGAACAATACTACAGGTTGTTTTAGGGTGGGGGAGCAGATTTAGCTTTACAATGAGGAATTGCAAAGAGATAAATGTCATTCCCTGCTTAAGAATATCAATGGAGGAGACATGCCATGCATTCTCAACCCTTGATCTACCTACATGTAGGGAAAAAACACCACCAGAAAGAGTCTCCTGAAGCACACCTTCTTCCTCTCAGCCCAGCTGCCTCTCTCCCTTTGCTAAGATTTACCAAGTGATAGGATAGCACCCTGTTGTCCTCTCTTCTCTGATCCCACACACACTGGTTGGGATATCCAACACCTTATGATCATGTACTAACAATTCCTTGTGACAGGAGCTAACATGCTGAGAACATGCAAATATTCCAGAATTAAAGCTAAGAAGGATGCTACAGGTTCTCTAAGGCAAAAAAGTATCAAAAACACCATTAGAAAGGGTATGTGGGGAAACAGGCAGTAACTGAAGCATGTTTGATTAGTTTTAATAGATGGAAACTGTGGAAATACAGTACGTAACACATTTGTGAGGGATAATAGCAAGTCATAAGATCATCAAATGAGATGGTTTCTAAAACTAGTATAAACCGTTTCTCCAATAGGTGTCAACACAGGAAAATAGCAATACAAAGATCACCTGAGAAGGAACCAAGCAGATGCTCTGTTGCAAATGATGATCCCGGTGAGCCAGTATCCTAAAGATTAATAAAATAATAGGATTACGTTTCCTGAAAAGTTTGTTTGCTTGGGATGTTTGCAAAGCTCACTCAAACTGCGCTGTAAAATCTGTAGTTGCATAATATCTGAACAGCATCTGATTTAAAATAAATGTTTGAACTTGCATAATTTGAATTTTAATTTGAATGTTGAGCTTTCCTGTTAGTGGTGGCATATATTAGGAGTACTCAGGACAGGAGCAAAAAGGGTATGGAGGAACAGAAATAACCACCCTGAGATAACCAGCTGTTCAGTACATGAAGACAAGGGAGTGAGGGAAAAACCTTTTAAATGTAACGGCATTGTTTAGATGACACTGAAAGAAGCTGCACCCTTCACCACGCTGCACTCACGTGGGTACACAGCTTTTAGGCCACAGCTACACCCCGTCTGGCCATCAGGGACTCTGGGCAGAGCTGACTTGGGGCTGCTCGTGAAAAGGTTATGTAGACAAACCTGTCATGGGTCAGTATGTGCTGTACTCTCTATAGTCTGGAAACAGCTGATGGTTTTGTTTAGTTTCTGACAAAGATGACTTGTTGGGTTCTCCAGTGTTTCACTGGGATGAGTCAAACCAATGAATAAAGAATGAGGATGGTGACAAGCTGATAGTCAGCTTAGAAAGCATGGAAATCAAGGTGGCTAGATTCAGGGAACATCCAGAAGCTGAGGTTGCTTCCCTCTTCCACACTCACAGAAGAACTTCAAAGCTTCCTATGCCACTCACAAATAACAATTTCTGTTTACAATTTATGAGTTTTAGTACACCCTCTGCTTCTTCTGGACATCCCAATTAAAGCAAATTCCAGAAGATTTTGCCTTCTGTTTAGATACAGACTTTGTGACTGCAGTCTAGATCTTTGCCATTTGTAATCTAAATTCCTGCAACATACTCCACAAAATTTATAGTTCAGAAACTTCAGCTGCAGAAAGAAATGGCTGCCGACTTCACAGCAGAACTTCTCAATGGAGAGCTCGTAATAGGAGCTCCTTGCACTTAGAATTTACCTCCTAGGTCTGATTTCTTACTTTTGTCCCTGGTTCAATTTGTGTCTTCCCTGTATTTCTAGATTTTGTAGCAGTCAGTCATTCAGCCCCTACAGAATGCAACCCTTCCCGAATTACCCCTAAGCACCAACATGCATGTTTCCTCCTCCTAGAACAGCAATGTGATGCTAAATAGTCTCTTTCCAAAGTTTTTTTTAGACCAAAATAAAGCCATGGGGCTTTGCAGTTTGATCTGGACAGCTCAGTTTAACTTTATGTGGCAACAGTGAAGGAAGTGGCGAGGAGATTGAGCACTCCATGTGTATCATTAAAAAATGATTTTGCCACTACAGTCATCCAAGAGGTAGATGTAGCAGCTTTTTGGCCAGACTCTACTACCAGCAACATAAAGCAGTCACTGGGAGGATCTCTACCAAAATATACAGTTTTTACTAGTCTGGCTTCTTTTGACAAATGGATATCTTAATATATGGTTGGTTTTCCTGTTGAGTGAAATCCATAAAATATAAAAGATGTTCACCGGAGTAAAGATGAGTGCATTAGGAATTCACTGGTAGGGAGATGTAATATATTAACCTTTCCAGCAACAGTGAAGGAGAACTTTACGTGCCAAAACCCCTGGAATAAGCAGTAAATGAACATAGTGCTTCCCTAGCTCTGATGACTGAATTAGGAATTAATCTAGAATATGGCTCAGGCCTGTAGGCTGTGTTTTGGAACTCCACAATCAAGAACCCATAAAGCTATAGTAAACTACTTACTTGTCCTCTCACTCAGGAGAGAGTGAGAGAAACCTGATTTGGGTAATTTTCTTAGGATTTTCAACTTTCTGTTTTTTGTACTTCACTCACCCAACATGTACAGACACACACACAAAAAACCTCTTCTTCGAAATTGAGGAATGGTTTCTTAGAGACCTTTTTTGTGTCCTTCTATATATGCTCTTTACCCAACTAAAATATTTCTTGAGCACCTGGCAAATAACTGCTGGCGCTCTTCTTTCACAATTGAAAAGAAATTCACTTGACCAGCTTGGCCTCAGTTGGAAGCTCACCACAGATAAGGCTGGGTCCAGCACCCTGGAGTGGGCCAGCTGCCAGGTAATATTTCCAGTTCTCCACCCAACATGTCTCCACTGTAAACTATGGAATAACATCACCTCTGCACAGTTTCCCATTGGTTTCATGTGGAGGTCAATAAAGCTATCACGATCCCAGTTATGGGGGCAGAAACTGGAATGCTTTATTGGACTTAAAAGTTCATATTTAAAGGGCTTAGGGTCTACATATTCAACAGGGGGCTTGCATATTCATCAGGGGACAGAACTATTACAATTAGGGACTTTACAGGGATGAGGTAAAGGGGAAATCCTAAATTACAAACTTTTGGGTCTTAGCACTTACATCATAGGGGAAAACCCATCTTATCTTGGGGGAATTCGGATTTACAGAATGCAAGGATCCAGGGAAGCAAAGGGAGAGATAAGGTACTATAGGTCTTCTGCACAGGTTTGATGAGATCAGGGCATGGTTTCTCTGGGTTGGGCAGGACATTCCAAACCCGTGACATCAATGAATCCTTGTCTGGACTCTAGATGGAGGTTTTTTCCCAGTCTCTGCCAGACTTTTGTTTAAACCTAGCAGTTTTCTTTTTCTTATATCCAAATTTTGGAATCCAACAGTTTCATGTTCAGAGAAGACACTGTGCTTTTGTAAATTAACCTTGGGTTCACCCCATTAGGTTCCCTTTCATGGAAAAGGAACTTGCCCAAGGGGTGAGGCAACATGCCAGTTCTGAATGCCCAGTGTTTGATAAAAACTGCTGAAAATGACTGTGGTATTCACAAACCCATTTTCTTCCAAAATGTATTTTTTAGGGTTAGCCTTCACTTTCATAGAAAGTTCCACAAATACATGGAAATGGCATAGATAAACACGAACACATCCCAGTTAATGTTCCCTAACAATGATCTATCCAATCGTTTTATCAAACAGTTACAGGTCCCATCTCTGATCCCCAGTGAATCTTTGGAATCCTATGTCTCTCCTAGGGATGAGTAGGATGCTAGGACTGCCCATGCAGAGATGCTGTGGTTCAAAATTAAATCTCACGCCCCTTCCAATTCCCTGTGCTCACTGGCTGTGCAACCACAATGGAAGTGGGGCATCCCAGCGTAGCAAGTACAGCTCAGCCCAGCCCAGCCCAGCCCAGCCCAGCTCAGCCCTGCCCTGATAATTTAAGAGTGCAGTTGCAAGCTAACCCCTGATGAGTTAAACCCAGACATTCAACCAAATAATCAGGCCAACAGACCATATTCCTAAATTATCACAGGGCAGCTCCAAATCTGTCACATCCAGTTTCTTTTCTGACATGTAAAAGGCCAGAAATATCTTTCTGCAGCAGCACAAGTAACCTCATTGGGTATTAGACTCATTTCAAGGAACTCGGGAATTATCCAGTGGGGACCACAGCTTCTGTTGATGAATCTCAGTAATCTCAGGAACTATAAGGTAGAGGGTATGGTTGTGTTGCCTACGGTTAGAAATTCAGTAATAACTGATTGCTTAGCTCCCTGCGTGCCTAAAGCACTTCCCTAACCCCTGTCTCTTTATGTTATGAGGGTTTCCTACTTGGGTTCTTGTTAGCGTCAATGCTGTTGGTAGAACGAAATGAAGCACTGCAAACTCCTGTTAATGTACGTACAGAACAGTGTTTCTCAAGTCACTCGGATCCACTGGGAAGCTGCAGCCCACCAGAATGAGATTCTGCCCTGACTTCACTCCAGAAAAGGGACTTCCTAAACTTCTTTTTGAGGGAGAATGGAAGAGGAAAAAAATGTTGCTTTAACAGTCACTTACAGCATCAGTAGTGATGGTAGTAGGTGAATGTACATGGAAAGGAAGTCCCGGGTGATATCTTTTCACTTCTCTAGTGTGAAACTTTAGCTGCAAGGAGAATCAAAATTTGATTTTAACAAAAGATTCCCAGGTTTCAGAATGTGCTTCCATTCAGATTAGGAAAAAGTTTCTCCAATTTTAAAATATTTTGTAATGAAAATTTTTGGAACATAGTCTGATTTGATTAAAAACTATGCTTTCAATACGAATAATTTGTTTGGATTTTGATCTTTCATTTATTACTATAGTAAATAAAGGCTATACTGCAACATGAAGTACTTAGAATTTTTTTTGTCCAAAAAATATGTAAAAGACATTTACTGAATTACCAGAACTTTTACTTCGACTTCACAGTTTTCTGAAGCATTTTTAATTTAAGAAAAAAATGAAATTCCCCAAACCTCTTCAGATTGCAAAGGAAGATGGTCATTATGGTCATTACCTCATGACCAGTATTCCCACCCGACACCTCCCTTGCTGACCCCACCTGTTTTTCAGTTACACCTTCACAAACTGTGCCATTTTTTGCCCATAGATCTTTGACTGAATACCCACAGTAAGGTACGTTTTGTTCCGTTCTTATTCTTACTGAGTGTCAGAGGTTTATTTTGCCTCTTGTTGACAGCAGATCACATTAAATTACAAAGAACAGTCCAGGACGAAAAGTGCATTCTTTTTTATTTCTGTTCTGAAAAGTAACCATAGAACGGAGTTATGCAATGCAATGACATATTTTTTCCTAGTGATTTTAAGGTGAAATATACTCAGTTTAATGTAAAGGGTGTTTTTTAAAGTGTTACTCTATCTGTTAAGCTACTGCAACTTGCAATTTAAAGGTCATTATATTCCTTCCCGATCAACAGTACTCCTAATGTACTCTTAGTTTTGACCAGAAAGTCCCTTTCTTTCAGTTTAGGATTTCAGGGGTATCTATGTGAATCACATTAAGGAATCAGTTGGGAAGAATAGAATCTCTCACTTCATTTTAAATATTGTGTACATTCAGAAATGCCCTACTTTGCACACAGGCTTTACATCTGTGTGAGGAATTTGCATCAGTGTGACTAAATTAATTTTGCTGCATCATTGCATATTTGCTTAATGTCGACAAGGCCTTTACTGTTGGCTGTGCTGAACTAACAAGAATAAAAAAGTAGCATCAAAAACTTTCTTTAAGGTCGTTTGAAGATAGGATTCTGACTATACATACGGGGAAAATAAGAAGGGTTTGTTTGCTTTTATATATTGCTGCTTTTACAGAGTTGGTTTTCAATGAAGCAAAGCTTATTACAAAACACAAAGTCTATTTTAGCCAAAGGAGCACGCTACAAATTTCCTGGCAAAAAGATAAAATTAACCTTATCATAGGTACTAAAATTTTTATTTGCAGTAGCAACTAGTTAGTAAATAAAATGTTCACCTCTTAAAAAGTCTCTGAGCTATTTCGAGTTTCTCTCTTGTTGTCTCCCAAATGTTGTCCCCACAACTAAACCAGCTCCACAGTAGAAAACAGGCACAAGGACCAGCTGGAGCCAAACCAACTCTTATGTTTTATTATGCAACTTCTCTGAACAGCCCTGAATAGAGGGTGGGACAACGAAATAGAGCGTAAACAAGTCACAACCCCGTGTAAAACCACAGTGGATAGACATAAGACTGTGTTATTTGGAATAACACCTTCCAAACCCTCCATCTATCTATGTCTGGACAGACATCAAGAACTGCTGCACATAAATTTCAAGGCTCTTGCCTTGCCTCTCAGCTATGAAAGCCTTCTTTGCCATAGGAGGCATGGCAATATGACTCATTTGAGTCCCAAGCCTTAAGGGATGAGATATTCCAAGCTTCTCTCCAATTTTTTCATTCTGCTGTCACTATTTTTGGTTTTAATTCTTAGGGGATTATATGACAATGAAACTATTCATAGTATTAATTCTTAGGGTATTATATCATAATGAAATTAAAGGGAATAGATTACATATATAGGAACTTTGGATAGATAATATCTAAATCTCACACACTTTATTCTCGGTTACCTCAAGACGTTTATGGATCTAGGCAAATACTGAAGATCTAAGAGCATTTCCTTCTCAAACTCCTTGTGTTTGGTTAGTATCTTGCGGAGAAGGGTGGGAGACAGGCAAAGTTCACTTTGCCTTTGCTTTTCCACATGCAATTTCCAGCTGTACAGAAATTCTTTCCTGGGGTTATGATATGACATACAACTCTTTTGGCAGTGTGCCAGTGATGACATGGTGCCACTTTAGCTGCTCAAATGTTCAATCATGGCCTGAACATAGCACTGCTATGTGTTCCAGTTTTTTTGATGGGGCAGGAGGTTATCATTCTTTGGTAGATTGCTGAAAAGAAAATCTTTAAAAATCAATGACTATGCCAGTGGCAACTCTACTGTTCCATCACAACAAAGTTATAGAGCATTGATAAGATGATGCCCACTGTTCACTTCTCAGTCATACTCTCCTCTTGATTTAAAATAAAGGGGTGATTCTTAATTGCATCTATGATCAGAAACAATATTTTACAATCTAAGAAAGAGTACATAAGGTGACAAATATTACTCTAATTACTAGAAGCTGAGACGCACACCTTTGGTTGTTGGTTCCATGCCATCTCTGTCTCTCAAAATATCTCAACCAAGTGGCCATTTCTGGAGAAACCCTGAAGTATCACAACCAACTCCTTCAATACAGTGGGCTGAAGAAGGATTAGCTGTAAGATCAGAGGCCTGTGGTTCCCATGGATCAATAGATGTCTATTGATTTAGGGTGTTACATGACTGGGACAGTCCATTCTCTGTGTCCCTCTGACAGATTTGAAAGGAAAGTGTACATGCTAAAACTTTTACATCCTGCTCCTTTACACTGGTACAGCAATCAGTAGAACTTGAGATTTACATAATCAAAAATACTGCATGCTGGCACACTGGCAAAATTGAAGGGCTTAAGACTGATACCAACTTTTGTATCTGTTGACTTGTTTTATTTAAAATTTGTAATATTAATAGAGGAGTGAAAATGAGGCTTCAACTGTGTTGGTATGAACCTTTGGAATTTCTGGTAAGGAGAGAAAAACAGATGTATATCAGGCATATTTTAGTTGTATTTCCTGTGAAACCTTTAATGTGCTGTTACACCTCTTAGAAGCGTTTCAACCAAACACTGTCATATTCTACCCCTCTTAGATTAGAACCTCAGTACATATTTTTGCTTATGTTTGGAGCAGTGTGAGCACTGTGCAGCCATAAAATACTGTGACAAAACACGCTCCTTCACTCACACATGTATTTCCATCCTAAATCAAACGTAAAGCAAGCAGAGTTTGACCTTTAATTGGAGAGCTTTGTCAAAAGAAGCCATGTATTAGAGTCGCAGAAACCTGATCTCCAGATCTGTGGAGCTGCATATTTATGATTTTCCAATGCTTGAATAGATTTTAAAATAAACCAGTCTGTAAATACAGGGGGAAATCTAACTGCAGCATTATGAAGTTGTGCTATGCAGCACTCCAAATTTGTTTTCTTCACGACTCTGTAGAACTGAGGGCAATATGTAATTAATATCTAATTTATTTCTTGTGCTTCTATTAAAAAAGTCATATTCCAAGGGAATATTTTAGTAATCTACAGTATAATGAATTTTAATGTGTTTTTTGAAGGCATCATTCAGCATTTCAGCTAGGATCAAAGGTTATGGTTCATGCATCAGAGACATACTCTGGAATTAAAGACAGCTGGATTGACTTTAATATACATTCTCTCTCTCTCTCTCTCTATATATATATATATATATCTCACATACTTCCCTGAGAAAAATAGTGAATATGTAGCTCTGTTTGCATTTGCACAGAAATTGCATTTTGCTTGTCCCAAGGGCCTGTTGTGAGGGACCTCAAAGACTGAGATATCTCACATACTGTTGTAATGAGATGTCATGCAAAATAAGCAGCAGGCAGATATCCTAAATATTAAAATGAAGTTGGAACTCGGAAGTAATTTCTAATTTGCCATTATTGCCGTCCAGTAAAAGATTAAAATAATGAGAATGTAGCAATTTTTTTCTTGGTCTCAAGTAATAACTTGGTGTATTTTGCTCTCACCTTCAACACACATAACTTTCATTTCAGATATCGACCAAAACAAAGTTTTCCCAAGTTATTACTCCTACAGAGATTTAACTGTATTATGGAAAACATAGCAAGGATGCTTAAAATTCAGATTATCGGCAAATATGGCTCAGCATAACTCTACCAAAGTATCTAGAACTAGACCAAGCTGGAATTCTTGACAGTCTGTCCTAGTGTTCCTAGTCATACTTTCACAGTTACTGAAAGCTTAGTTCCCCTTTACAAAATACATAATTTTATTTCTTAGTTTCTACTTGATTAATCACAGGTGAGTGACAAACTGAGAATTAATTTAAAGCCAGACCTGAATAGTACCAATATCAAGCAGTGAACACAACTTTTCCCTTGAGAAAATTTAACAACCAAAATAGGAGTGGTCAAAAAAGCACATTAACTTAAAAAAACCAACCGTTTTCCAATAAAAGGAGATAACTATGATAAAACTGCATAACAGCATAGTCAGAAAATAGGAATTGTCAAAAAATGTACGTTAGCTTAAAAAATTCCACCATTTTCTGCATAACAGCACAGTCAGTTGTCCACTGATTTGTGAAAGACAAGACAGAAGTTGCTTTAAATTACTTATAGTTATCCAATAAGCCAGTGCAGAATTTTTCTATTGTGTAATTTTCTACAGTTTTGCCCAGATATGAATGGTAAATAGCTCAAGGTAATGATTCCTGCTCTTGCCACTGGAATAATGCCAGGCCAACACCGTTGACAGCTTTGGGTGCATTTGTTAATGTTTTTCTTTCATTTTCCTACCTAATTTTTCTTACATGCATTCTTTTCTATCAAAAAAAAGAAAAAAAATCATCAGTTATCAGTATCTGCGTTTCCAGAACCTGCAGACAGTAGGAGCCTTCACCTTCCAATAATTTTTTGCGAGTATTTAATTACTGTATTTACTGTTAATATTCCATTTCAGTCTTTTCATTCCTTTAGTCACATTTTGCCACACTGGACTGCCTTCTTCCCAGTGTTGCTGCATTCCTGTTGCAGCCTTTAAGATTTCTCACCAGTGTTCTGCTAGGTCTGTGCTGTCTGCCGTGTAGCAATCACATCCCAACAGCATCACGGGCTTGTGTCAGATCAGAGCCATGCAGGAGTCATGTCAGATATACCACACTCCTCCTATTTGATTGCCTATGATGTGCCATAGCTGAGGCACAGGGTTATATTAAGAAAAATGCCTAAGGACTTTTAGAGGAAATAGAGGGAGTTGAAGAAAACCAGTGTTTCTAATAAAAGAGAAGGGTCTCTTCCACTTTAGTAAGATAGAGGGAAAAAGAGAAACTGTGTTAATGATATTTCAAGCTACTGAAATTTGAGTGATTCAGACTTACAAGCAACCGGCGATTGCCTCTCATGTATGCGTTGGTCTTGGTGAAAGCAGGATTTCAGTCCTTCCCTCTTCAGGCTGCAGTCCTGTGGCCATCACCATCTTGGCAGAGGCTGGAAATGCTGTAATCAAGCAGTGGAAAGAAACAAGGCAGATGCACACCTACGCTTTGGGTTCCATGAGAGCTGGTATATTGGAACTGAAAAGTACCGAGAGCTTTTGGGCTCTCTCTGTAACCTGCTCAGCCAAGGATGTTGTTCTATGTTGTGTTAAAAGTCCTTCCCCTCAGGTTGCATAGGGAGCAAGGTTTAGCTCAATGGGGAGAAGAGGAAAACACAGTGACAGCCCAGGTAGAAACACTCCATCTGTTTGGCCAGGCTAGAGCCTGGAGATCATAAGGGCAGCACACGTTTCAAGCAGATTTCTCTGCAACAGGGAAAGAACTGCTTTAAGGCTTAAGGTAATGGGCTGTTTTTAACAGATTCTAATGCTTAACACAAAATGGGGGTGAAAGGGAAAAAAAAAAAGAGAAGAAAAACCTTATTTGACCAACCTGTAATTCTTTTCCAATGGACTTAAAATATTTAGGTGCAAAGAGGTATCCCTTGCTAGCCTTCCATAGCCTGAACATGGAAATAAATATAAGTTGCCTGTCGTGGTTCACTCCAGTACATCCTTAAAAAACTGGTTGCTCTCTGTTTTGCTTGTTAATAAATACATATAAATATTAAAAACAAAACAGAGACACAATAAAATCTGCACACAAAAGTATATAGCAAGAGAGAAGAGTAAACCATGCTGATTGGATGATATAGAGTAACTGGAGAATAAGATATTTCCATAATTTTATTATTTGCAATCATATGGAGAGACATTTCAAACACAAAAAATGCCCTGTTTTTTAGATTTTGTTCCAGAGCTTGTTATTACAGAACAGTTTCCTAAAGACCAAGTAAAAATAAGCAAAAAAAAAAAATTATTACTTCATGGTATCCATTGAAGAATTTTACTTAATATAACGAGAGTAGACTGCCATCCCCTTACATAAAAATATTACTTATGCCAAGGAAAAAGAGCAGACATAGTAGTTAATACACCATCTATTGTTCTGATATTCACTGAGCATCCCATAGAAATTAGGTGCGTTTCTATAAAGCCACCACAATTTCTTTTTCCATTCAGCCACACTAGTGCAAACTGGCATGTTGGGGGGAAGTTGATTGTGCAGCTTTGGCTGTTTGTATCCAAACATAAAATGAGTTGTCTTGCAGAATGATATAAGAATGATAACTTTGTTGAGTCAAATTTCAGTAGAATAAACAGATCCAGAGGGTCAAATGAATTAAAGGTACTGTGTCACTGTAACAAAACTATATTGCTAAACAAGTTTTGGACAGAGTTCAAGATTTCAAATGCTTGTTTATTCCTGTGGCAACATAAGCCACACCAAATCTTTTAAACCCTTTATTAAAGATAGAAAAAAATAAGGGAGGGAAAAGGAATAAAAATATTCAGAATGAAGAAAAGTAAAGCTTTTATTTTTTAAAAAAAATCCAGTTTTGGTTTCCTGTTAAAAGTCTATGTGAGGAAAATACCATTGTTTAACAGGCTTAAAGACACAGTAAGAAACAAAAAGTATTGGATTTTTTATTTCAGAAGAGAGAGTTATTCAGTTCACTGACATGGGCTGGAACTTCTGGCAGACCTGTTGTTGGAGTCCAGTCATTCCCTGGAGAGGCAGGCAGCATGGGCACAAGAGCTACAGGGGAAGGGAACTCAGCCTCTCTCTCTCTGGTGCTGGCACTGAATAGCAAATTCATTGCAGGACAGCATATTGTCTGTTGGTCACACAGACACATGGAAATTGCAGCAACATCCTACTGTCTCTAACACAGCTTTTTGGAAGCTGTTTATTAACAGTGCCTTGGTAGCTCTCCAAAGGACGTAGTTTAATATCTCAAGAAAGTTTTTCTTAAACAGGAAACAAAGGAAAACACAAATGAAAAAGGAGAGAACGAGAGAGGGAAGGAAAAACACAAACCAAGCTGCTGCGTTTCTGCTACCTACCTATCTTTCTGCAGTTTGGGTCAAATTAAGCATCCTTGCAGCACAAGACTGGGGGCACCAGAGAGGAAGAATAGCCCATCCACTCACGATTTAGCTGATTGGTGAGGCTTACTCTACAGTATATCTATTTTGTCCCTGTGACAGCAAAGAAAGATAATTGAGTCTCAAAGCACATCTGCCCTCACACACCCCCTCTCCCTTACAGTTTCTGATAGGTAATGTGGTTTGTCCTAAGATAAGAACACCAGGTGGGAATTGCAGGAGGAACTGTCTTGATGCTCACATAATTAATGCATTCCAGAGATGGGGGAGCTATGATGGTTGTCATTGACTTTTCACATTGGCCTGTGAAAGGGTATAAAATGCAGCTGTGGACTAGGTCAGTTGATCTCCCAAGGTTGCAGGCAGCTTCCAGATGGATCCCACCCTAGCAGGATGCCTGGAGCGTACATCCAACTTTTGGATGGTTGAGTAAAAGCACCAAATCCAGCCATATACAGAGATAAAATCCTAAAGCAGCTCCATAGGTGCTTTGCTGCTTTGTAATTGTGCTTTCTGCAAGGTCAAAGGCTCTAAACCTGCTTGTTTACAGTTGAACCTGGTTATGTTATAACCCTTTAGATTTGATCATATTATACACTGCATTGGCAATATTTAGATAATAAAATATAAATAATGGCCAGTCTTCGTGAACGAAGATTTGGGGAAAGGTCTTTTTACCTTTCCAGCCTGCGCAATGGATTTTTTAGGTGAGACACAGCCTGCGCTGAACTGAGCCCACCCTTTAATCCTAAGGTTCATCTGCCGGGGCCAAGCAAGCTTGGACAATGGCAGTGAGGTCCTCAGGACGTAGGTTTGTTTAGAGTGACCTTCTCATAGATGGATGGCCTTACAGGGCTAACGGGCTCCATCTGCCCGGGGGACTGGCTGGGATTCGAACCTGGGTCGCAGAGGTGAGAGTCCTGCATGCTAACCACTAGGCCATATATTATTATATTTAGATACTGTATTAGCAATAAATCTAAGTATAACAATCCACAGAATCAGTGTCATACTTCTCACACTTGACCGAGAGTCTTCTCTCTACTACTCTGCCATAGTCCCGCTGAGTCTAGTCTCAAATTTTTCATCTTTACTGGACATGATTTCAGCATAGTCCTTGGGGCTTATCACTGGGTCTTGTTTTCTTGAAAAAGCTGTCATTTTGTGTTTAATTTTTACTGATCTTTGCAAATTGTTTTATGTAACAATCTGAACTTTACACTGATCACCTTGAACTACTTAGAGCGTAGGCCTTGGCGCAACAGGATCTAATTTTTCTTGTTTGCAAGGACATGCCTTATCTTCTCTAAGGAATGAAAGTCTGCATAGTGGCCACTAAAGATATTAGAATGCTTTTTCTGAGATTAAATTTATTAATGTTGTTGTCCTGTCTAAACAATATGATTAATGTTGTTGTCCTGTCTAAACAATACGAAATTGTATAGTTCAGGACTTTTTACTTGACACACATTCTCAAGGGAAACTAGTGTAAAACAACTCAGACACGTCTGACATGTCTGTCAGGCTGTAAGGAAAATGTGCTGCGGTTAAAAATTCTGGTGTCTTCTGTGACAAAAGATAAATCTTGCAAATTTGGTGCAAGGACTTAAAATCTGATAGAAGACAGCTTTTGTGTCAATGACATGTTGGTTTTATCCTCATTAAATAAATATGTGAAAACTCATGGTGCATGTTTGATAAAGATGACTTTGGTTTCAACAGCAAACTTTCCTAAAAGGTCTCATTTGCTGTGGATGGGCACCTGCTACCATAAGCTGTAAGGGGTCTAGGCAACCAAAAGGAAAGCAGTGGTCTACCTTGCTCTGGTCCCACCATCCTAGATGTCCAAATCAAGAGTACAGAAGATAGTTATTCAAACGCACTGTGAAGAAATTCTCAGGCAGATATACTGGATCCCAAATCTGTGCTAGATGAGGAATGGGGTCAGGAGGAGGAATGGGGAGTTAGGGTGGTCCAGCCAGGTAGATTGGAAGGAAAAAGTGTCATACTGGGGAATGAGGAAACAGCTAACCACACTGGGAGATCAGGAGCTGGGATCTACTGTGACTTCCTGTGGGAGAATGTGGGGTCCTGGGATGAAGTGGGGAAAGCAAAGGACAAGGATGGCAAGAGGCTGGAGGAGACACAGTGGGTTACCTTATATCTGGAATCCATCTGATTACTTGTCACCTCAGCCAACAAGCAAAACCTCAGTTTGTGTTTCTCACCAATGACCGTCGGCAATCCTCTTCTGGGAGTGCTTTGCTCAGAGGATGACAACCCGTGGCTGGCAGTGGCACTCTATTCGCTCAAGTAGCAGAAATCTGTGCAGATAGCGCAGTTGTTAGTCTGCCAAGGAAAATGAGGTACCATGATGAATAAAATTCATCTCTTTCCAGCTTGTTTTCATTTTTCTATCTTTTTTCTGTTGAAAAAAATAAATAAAGAATTTTTTAAAGAACATTACTGAGATTGCTAAGTAAAGCAATTGAAATAGGAAATAGCAGAATCAAATAAATTATGTTTATTCTGTTTAATTAATTTTTCCTAATGTGATATTAGGAGCTTATCTCTCCTGCTTGTCCCATTGTGGTCTAATAAGTAATTAGTCCAAACTCATTTAGAGCAGAGAATATGCTAATACAACATAAATATTTCTTCTACTGTGCCTTTTTTCATGTCTTTGCTACACAGGCTTATTTTGTGCTCTCTGTGAGTTAGTACAGTGGAAAAACAAGAATACAGCTATGCAGGCACCCTGATTTATCTGTTTTGGACATTGTGCCTGGTGGCCTTGCATTTGATCTCAGTTGGTTTTTAGGCTGTGCACTCTGGTCACACACTTTTTCCATCTGAGTGTGCTATCTATAATATTTTGAAAGTGACTTATGGAACAATAATGCCATGGTAATTTCCTCAAATATCTACAAAAAATAAAGGACCCTTTGCTCATTAAGAGGAGTGGCTTAACGCTGCCTAAGAGGAAAACAAAAAGCTATTAATATTTTTCAGAGGAAAATAGGGGCCCATATTTGCATCTTGGCTCATATTCCCTCTCTCTTCGAAACAAGCCTTGATGTTCCAGCTTATGTAAGCTATGGCTGAACCTGCCAGATCAGCCTAGAGAGACAAGGTCTTGTATCAGAAGTTATTGTTTTTAAAGGTTAAATTAATCCAATATTACTCCAAGAAAACTACTGAAATTGTTCAAGAGTCTTAGCTGTTCCTAAGGTTTGCAGCTGCTCCACCCAACTGATAGCCTGTGCAAGAGCAAAGCTGCAGCTGGAATCTGAAGGAGAAATCATTTATTAGCAGATTACAACAAAAGGTGTGCATCACCCAGTTGTTCTCTCTGGTGGGGGCTCTCAGTGTGGAGCTGGCGGTTGTGGCTGCAGGACTAGGATGTGGGAGGAGGCAAGGCAGGGCAGGGCAGGGCAGGCAAGCATGCCACTTGCTTAATTTTGTCCTGAGTTAGTGCTGGGAGCTTATCTCCACCTCTTGTCGCTGCCCGGCCTGTTAGGGAATTAACCCAACCTCATTTACATCAGAGAATATTCTAATACAGTCTAAGTATGTCTTCCAGTCTATAATTGAATGCTCTAATTATATAACAAAACTGAATGTCACAATGTAGATTTGCTTCATCACAGCTGTGTTCTGGGACCCATGACCTTCAGCTTGATGCTTCCACTGCATGAAGGCAGGATACTTGAACACATGATCTCAGCCAAGGAACAACATGTTGTATGATTACATAGAATGTGTCCTTGTATTGTATGAGCTATGGTTTATTTCCCCTTGCTGCTATCAGCCTTGCAAGCAGCTAGTAATCCAGGCAGTGATATTTCAGTCAAGGTTTTTGATTCCAGAAAATAAGCCTGTTCTTCAATGCACCCCCATTCAGAAAAGTGTGGACATGCACACGAAGCTTATCTTCAGTAGGTGCTTAAAAAGAGGGCATACATTTAAGAGCCCCTCTTCTGAATACGGCTTTTTACTTCAACTGCTATGTACAAAGAAATACATATGGGCCCTGGTGGACAGACTCCCAACTTTATGTATCTATGTATGTATATATGTATAGATACATAGATAGATAGTTACAGTCACAGTTATTTAACTTGGAGGAAAAGAACAACCTCATTTTTGAAATGAGGTTAAACCTCTGTGAAAATAGTGAAAAAAATCTCATTATGAAGACATATAAGAAACAGCGATGCTCCTTTATGGAGGCAGATATCTAAAATAACAGCAGTCTGTACTCAAAACACAGACAGGCTGCTGCTTAGGACCTAGGAATATATATAGCACAAGAAGGTGGAAAAATTTCACGAGCTACCATTGAGGAATCTGGGCTATGTGTGGGCCTGATATTATGAGAAAAGTAAAAGAAAGCTGAGAACAGACTGTAGAGATTTACTTTTTTAAAGAAGTGTATATTTAGTGGGCTTGTGTTAAAACTTGGCTAAGAAAATGTCTGGGAATTGTAGCAGAAACAATATATCCTGAATATATTCAACATAACAGGAGTCTGTGTGCCCTCTTATATCAAGGGCATCACCTCCGATTTAAACTCAAGCTTAATAAGCTGAAGCCAAAACAACTTGGTAGATGATGCAAATAAAAAAGGATTGCTTATTTTATAGATATTAGTAACCTTGCAGATCAGCACCAGATTGCACACCCAAATATTTATGGTTAAACAGCAGAACTGCCTCTAATGCAACACAGTTTGATTAAACATCTCTCATTCAGTCTAGGTAATGAAAATAAACCATCATTGCTTATGACACAAGTGAGGTCCAGATACCTTTGAAGATACACGAAAGGCAATGCCCTTTTAATCAGAAATAATGTAATTTCCACTGTGGTATGACTACCTGAGTCCCACACCTGCCAACTCTTCTTGGCATGGACTTTCTCCCCAGTCTGTCATTACAGGGCCTTAGCAACAGGTCCCTGGCTCCTTGAAGCATTTGGTGCAGTGCTTTAGCCTGGACATGAGCTACTCTTCGCACCTCTGAAGCAAGAGCATTATTTTCCTCCCCTTTGGTAAGGTTCATCACTATTACCTCCAGTGGCAGCTCATAAAACAAGCTAGCTACTGCAAGTTTTGCTTCACAGAGGAAACAAAGCAATTATGGAGAACATACTAGATCCTCTTAGTAGCCCTTACGTTACTCTTACCATGGAAGTTCATGTCGTCCACTCCTTTTCATCATTTGTTCTTGTTTCTAGTGGACACAGTTGAGACTTCTCATCATCATTCCTGTCAGGTGGGTCTTCCTAAGATCTGTAGTAAGTATTCTCTTCCTAACACACATTGGTCTCCACTGGATCATCTTGGGGGGAATTCTTGGGGGCTGCCATTCAGAGAATGCACAACAATTACATCCTGTGCTCCCTGCTGACTCTGGTGAAAGATGAGGTGGTGGGCTGTTCGACTCTGCCGAGACAGAGACCAACAGTCAGACTTTTTAATAGGTGCTTTTTTTTTTCCAAGGCATCTAGGTTTCTAGCATCTTTGATGTCTGTATTTTTCAGGGTCTATTTTAACCTTGTAATTACATGTAAATATTAGTTTTTTAAAATCTTTTTTTCATTCTGGAACTGAATATCTTGAATTTCCATATGCTGAATTGAGTATGAGTAGTGGAAGACTCTCCTATCCTTTCTGTCAGTTCCTTCCTAATTACTTGGAAGTGAGATATAGATAGGACAGGCAAGATGCTCTACTTTCCCAGAATTTGTGTTTTCTAACATGAATTCGATTTTCGGTATTAAGCTTTCAGGGATGTTTGCTTTGGTAGCTTATTTTGAATCCTGTTTGGCTTACTTTTTTGCTAGGTTATGTATCTTCACGGGTTTTTTCAGGTCTGTGGCTCAGTAACACAGTGCACACCTCCAAGATATGTGCAATACACCCCACGATATGCTGCTACTTGTGCTGCCTACACAGTAGCTGTGTGGGATAATGCTAAACAGCCCCAGAAAGCAAATGTACCCTAGTTCCACTCCAGTGTTCAAAGTGAACCAGTCTCTTACTTAGATGGACTCCCAGATGCAGCCATCCACCCCTCTCTGCAAGGCTGTGATGATGGAGTAAGAGCTGACAAGGCATTCCTGAGGCCGATGTAAAGTAAACTTAAAAAAAAAAAATCAATGAAGCTGGTGATGAACAAAGCATGTCATCTTCCACTGCAAATTACCTCCCTGTAGTGTAGGGCAGAGAGACACTTTCTCAGTCTCACATTTTAGTATTTTAACAACTCCGTGTTTCCCCTCATAAAAATTTAGGGGTTTTCCCAGGGTTTTTTTTCAACTTTTAAAATTTCACTTCTGCAGTGACATCATGGGCTCTTAGCATTTCTACTACAACCAAAATGTCTCTCACTGTATTGTTGCTGCTACCTACTGGACTGCAACTTGGTTGTCTGGTATCACCATTGCACCAACAGCAGTCTCTTACAAGGTCAGATCATCTTATGTCACAGAATCTCATGTCAAAGTAGGGCTAACTTTTTGCTACTGACTTCTTTAAAATGCTTTGAATATCTATATTATCTCTGTTGTACGTATTTCCCTATCTTTGCTTTTGATCAGCCCATTTCCTGTTTGAACTACCCACACAGGATTTCTGTAACTTGGTAAACAAGATCTGTGGTTTCCTACCATGGCAGGAGTTTTAGTTTCAAGTGTTAGGCATTTGATATATCTCTGTTTATCTTTCCTTGGACATTATTAGTCAGTGATCTTTTTGCTCTTGTGTTCCTTTCTGTAATTCCACAATTTTCATCAGTCTTAGCATTATAGAATTTTTATTTCTGAGGTTTTATTTTCTTTATGATTCATCCTTTTTGGGCTTACCCAATTTGCTGTTCTGCCTGTATTGAAGCTGCTGCAGATATATCACATTGTTTTCATGAAGCAACAAGGCAAATGTAATGGCTCGCTCCCACTGAGAGGGCCCTGCCCACCCTTAACTCCTTCCAATCTCAACCACCTCCTCCTCATGCTGTGGTGCTCATCTGTCTCTTATTGAAGTAGTTCAGCTAACTAAATCAGCAGAAAGCCAACCAGTTTAAAAAAAACTAATCAGCTTTTGTCAGGTTGGTAAGCTGAAACAGCTCATAGTGATGTTGGACAAGGGCCAGTGCTAGCTCAAGAGAGAGACTAGGAACACCAGGACAGGATCTGGAGAGAGACAGGATCACCTTACACAGATGGCAGCAGCCAAGTTTTACAGAGACTTGGACATACTGGGAAATGTCATACTGGGCATTTTCCCTTTGTAACACTATTTCTCCGCCTCACCTACCCTTGACTATAATGGTAACTTAACTCATAGAATCACTGAGCGACCTGAGCTGAGAAGGAATTCAGGAGGTCCCTGGTATGTTCACCTGTCCCCTTGCAGGGTCAATGCTTAGCTTAGACCAGGCTGCTCAGTTTTATCCAGTCACGTCTGGAAAACCTCCAAGGATGGAGAGTGCCAAAGCTCTCTGAGCAACCTGTGCCGATGATTAATTATCCTCACAGAAATTTCTTTTGTTCTTATAAATCTGAACGTGGTCAAAGTCAGAATATCATGCAACACTCTTGTTTTCAGCTTCATATCACTGATTTCTAAGTAATTTTGCCTTTGAAGTCCATCCTTCCCAGACTATTCTGCTTGGCATTATATAGACCATCACTGATACCATCAGTTATATAGCACATCTGACCCTGTGTGGTGTTCATGTTAGTGTCTATTTCTGAGTCTTTTTACCATCTGGCAAGATTCATATGTTTAAGCTAGCAGAGTACTTAAAAATACATCAAACAACAAGCACACATCAGTCTGTCTCCCACCATTTTCGTAAAGCTTTCACAGTCTTACTGTTTTAACACAAGGCCTAGGTAGGTTGTATGACCCCAACTCTGCTTTACTAAAAAAAGGTTGCTAACCTATGAGTGACAGCATATAAACTTAAGTCAAGAAAGGTATATTAAAAAAGCTGAAACAAGGACACAAGTGAAATTGTTGAGCCTGTAGCAGTCACTCAAGGACTGAAGGAAAAACTAACTACTGAAAAAGCTCTAAAACCCTGAGAAAAAAAATCAAAATAGAAAATAGGAACTGAGCAAAACTGAGGATCATTCTATTGCAAGGAGCAATGGAGGCTGGCACTTCCCCATGTGATTACCACCTGTTTGACCAGCAGAACCCAGTGGTTATGTGCATCAGAGGCAGTGAGGGCATTAGTGCCAAAACTAATAGCACATTACTCCCAGCCATTTATTGTGTGTACTATCCAACAAATAGCGTAATTGTTCTGTACTCATAAATTGTGTTTGTGATCCTGCTTTCAAGCCTCCATGCACAGTAAAAGACACCCATATAAAAGTGACCAAATATGCTAAGAGGTTTATACTACACCACTGCTCTATCCATTTCTTGATTGTTATATTCGTCTTTGGTATTAAAGTTGTCCATTAAAAGAAACAGGCTGAGCTGTGGTATTTTTTAATTCCTACTACGAAGGCCATTTTGGAAATGCATGTTTGTGTTCTTCTTCACATTTCTCTGTCATTGCCAATATTGTGCAATATCTATTTTGACATGTGGGGTGCAGTGCATTGCTCAGATCACCTGTTTTGCTGGCACACTTCCTTTTCCATCCTAATTGCCAGATGACGGCCTGCCTTCCTGGGGTGACTCAGCCTGCAGGTTGGCTGACTCACCCGTCATTGCCCCTGTCATCCGCACGTGGATGTGTGTCAAGGCAGGATATGGGTGGAGGTGGAAGCACGGCCCAATTACAGAATCAAGAATGCAAGGGGGAATGCACGAAATTAATATTGGTAGAGTGCAAACTCTGGCTTTCTTCCTAAAATCCTAAACATTACCCACCTCTTAGGATGACTTCAGCAGAGCAAAGAATTGGGCTGGTGTTGCAATCTAGGGAAACAGTATTCACAGACGTGTAACAGATTCACGCAGTTCACTGTGTAATCCATTAGCAAAGAAGCTAGCCACCAAAGCTGGAAAAAAAGAAAATGGGAAAAAAATAACTTGGAACAAGTGTAAAGGGAAGATATTTTTTGAAGTTGAAATAAGCTATCCGTTTATTCCAGCTAAACAAGATGGTTAAAAAAAGAAATTAAACAATGGTGGGAATGTCAAGGATTGGGAGAAAATGCTGAAGAAGATGGAGAGATGAGAAAAAGTGACAGTTTGTCTTGTGAAGCCCCATGCTGTCCTGTAGCAAGGTCAGCTGTGATCCTGCAGACACATCAAGGAGACAGTTGTCATGAGTCTGGGGAAGGAAGGAAGGGTGAGTCTGCTGTCCTCTACATTTTTACTGTGTGAGCAGCCCTCAGTGACTGGCCAACACCTGATGATCTGCCCAGCAACACAACCCCGGCAGCCTGCCAGCACTTGGTGATTTAGTCCAGCAGCAGCGCTGAAAAATTTCTTTTTCCAGTGGTGAATGGATCAGCAGAAATGTGTGACCCCATCAGGCTCAACGCAGTCAATGGAATACTTTCGGCGCACGCGCAGCTGTTTATCAAGGCATACAAACATGCAGTGCTGCTATCACCTCAAATCAGCAGAGGCAATTTTAACGTACGCTGAAGTTTTTCTGGAAGCCAAAGGAAATGAAGTTCCAACTGAAATTTGGGCATAAGCATAAATGTCTGCCAAACTGTGGCCTGTATACATCACCTGATGCCTGGTGTTATATGTTTTCTGGTTTACAAATATTAAAAAAAATCCCTCAGATCTGAAACTACCCAAACTCTCTTGTAACATGAATGTGACCTTTTTGTTCTCAGATGTAATAAAAAATATTTCAAAGAAAACACAGAAGTTATGAATAGGTGACCACATACAGCTTTTCAGAATTTGAAAAAGATTACTTTTCCATGCTTATAATTAACTTTAATTAACCTTATTAATTCCCATCATTAATCATTGATGCAAATGAGCAGCTTCCTAGAGGAGAATGGGACCCAAGTCACTGTTGGACCTGAGGGAATGGCAGGTGCAGCTCATCTTCTCCAGCCCCAGAGCTGTATGGACACCAAACAGCTAATACTGTCCCACTGATCACAAAGCCCACAGGTAGTCCAAACAACCTGCCCTTTCTCCTACAAAACTGGCTGAAGTTTTAGAAGGACCTGGAACTACTGGGAGGATGACATAGACACAAGGCATGAACCCAAGAATACTCAGCTCCAGTGGTTCCAGTATTCCACTATGAATATATCTGTTAACTACCAGTGGTGTCACCTGATGGGACCATATCAAACCAATACTTAAGAAACAAATAATTCAATCACAAGCTAGTGAATCCTATTGGCATCATATGTAGGGTATTGTAACACATTTTGAAGGAAGTAATAATTAATGGCTTGATAAATGGGAAAAGAGATTAAAATGCATTGATGACTTGAAAAGAATAGATCACGCTAGAAATCATTTTCTTTAATAGAGATTGAGACAAACATGCTTTCAGGCTACTGGAAAAAAAATTGCATTTGGTATAAATCAAGCCTCAAAAAAAGTGTTAAATGCTGCTTGTGTAAATATGTCACACTGGACACGGTGTGCATTCAATTCACACTATGGTGATATGCAACGTCATTTAGGAATGCATAACATAGATAATCAGCAAAAAATAGATCAGTGAGTAAGGCTGACCATTATCCCTCTTTCTGCTTACACCCTCAAGCCTTTAGAACACATTGTTCGAGTATGATAAGCTTTAGAGTTACGTTTCGTAGCTAAATTTTGATTAGTGTGTGATATATACAAAGTCGCATGTGATGGATTCCATAAGCCTGTGAAAAATATGGGCCCGCTTAAACTGAGGACTATGGAGAGACAACACCTGAGAAGTTAAGATATGGCCCCAGGAAACAGGTGAGGGATATGAAATAGAAGAGGAGAATGTTCCTTCTAAAGGAACTAGAAAGGGAATTCAAACATGAGAAAAGTGGGATGATGTAGGCCTGAGTGAATCCTCAGCACCAAAGACACCGCATCCAGCTCAAGTGCTCCAGTACATCATCACCACTGTTCTAGTTATTAACATGGCAGTTCAAAGTCCATTTTCACTAAACCAAACAGACACTTGCTGTCTTGTGTGTAAGTGGGAGGGGGTGTTATATCCTTTGGTAAGAACAGGATGACTTGTGGTTTGTGCAGCATACCCCAAATTCAGACAGATGGAGTAAAAACTAAAAACAAAGTCCTTTCAGCCCAAGAGATTATCAGTGTAGGAAGACACATTTACCCATTTTTCTGGACAGCTGTCCCCAGACTTGCTCCTCCTACATCCTTACTGAAACCTCCAAAATGTAACACAGATTCACTGCATTGTATTCCTTCTTCTGAACAATGCTATCCCATCTGGTTACCTGCTTTTGTAGGTGATAACCTAATGGCTGGCACCAGTACTTCCTGGGATTACACAGTTGGGTTTTTTCATAATGCTTCTATCAACTCATGCCCTTCTTCTGAGAAAAAAGTTCTGGATTTAGGTTGAACCATAGTGATACAAATGAACGGTTACCCCCAGCACGGTTCTGTGGATTGAATAGGCTGAATCAAGACATGTTTTCTTCATAAAAGTGTATCACTGCAGCAAGAGCAGTCCACTGATCTCCTTAGGAAGAATTAATTAGAGACGAAAGAGATACTGAAAGAGCCTGAGCTAAATGGGCAAAAATAGAAAAAAAGGGACAGAGGTGGTTGGAAAAGGGAGGTAGCTACAAAAAGAAAGAAACATTGAGTTAACCAAGGGGAGAAAGTATATGTTACATTATTTTATACATCATCATTGACAAAATATATCAATATCAGCAGATTCCTGGCTGGATCTGTGGCAACCCTGTAGCTCCATCCCTCCAGCCAATGGTGAGGGAGCTGCAGGCACCTTTGTTTCACTCGCTTGGTGAGGAGCAGCATCATGGGGCCCTTGTTAAAGTCCTAGAGCGGTTTAAGCAGCTTAAACTGCTTTATAAGCTTAAAGTATCTAAGTCTTCAAAGCTGCTTAAAGCTACTTAAGCTGCTTAAGACACTTTAGGTTGTTGGCGTGTGCAATGGGGCTGTACGCAACATCCTGGCCTGCAAACCAAACAGTCTACCTTCAGATTTACAGGTCCCAGCAACAGAATTGCCTCACCAGGGCTGCTCTAAGCGAGGTCAGCTGAGCTGAGTTTTCTTCTCTTGGGTCATAGAATCATAAAAGAGCTTGGATTGGAAGAGACTTTTAAAGACCATCTATTCCGACTCCCATTGCCTAATTGTCCCTCTGGGCTTTAGTATTAAGGCTGTCCTTGACACCTGATAGATTTGTCCTGGCATCTTTGAAATTCTGCAGGTTTTTTTACTGCTGTTCATCCAAAGGTTGGGGTGTGTAATGGTATACCTGAAGCTAGCCAGATTCATTAGGTCAATATTTACCCATTTGCACGGCAACATTCACAAGTTCCAGTGTTTGCTAAGAGAGAAAGTTCTCATGCAGTATGAAATCATTGTTCTGGTGTCTAAATATCATGCATATTTTTAAAAGAACAAAAGGACCAGTGGATATTCACTGAAGTATGGCTTATCAGTTAACACCAAACCTAAATATTTCTGCACTTCTGGAAAGTCATAATCTTATCGTGACCCTATCTTTGAGTCTTATGATCATCTTTTACTAGACTAAAATAACAATGGTGAATGCAAAAACTTCCAGTGTTTACAGTCATATTTCAGTCAACACCACAGTCGACTGTGATGAGCACAGATTTCCCTAGAAAACATTTTTGAGCCAGCTATTTTTATATTGAGTAGTGACTAGAATTTGTCAAAAGTTTTATATGGATTTGAATTTCTAACAAAGAGCTTATTTTCTGAAAAACTTAGTTTTAAATAATTAAAAAAAAAAGGAAAAATAAATAGTTTTGCTCAGTTTTCCCTTGGGAGTATGATTTTAAAGAGATTTATTTTGAGCTAATACAAAAAAATGTAATTTTACAGAATGCTGCTTTATTTGCATAGTAATTTTGGTTGGCATTTTCTTGTGTATAATTGAGTTCTGTGCTCCCCTACTTAAGATATATATATGAGGTACAACATGACTGCAATATTTTGGGTTTTGAATGTTGAAATATTCAGTTGTAATTCAAGTCCTCAAAACTTTCCAACTTTTCCAAAATAATCTCGTTTTTTCTCATTCCCATTTTTAAAATTTTCCAAATTAGAAAAACATTCTAAAATTTTGAATTAAAATAATTATTAAAATACAGAATTTCTCACAGATTGAGAAATTCTGACTTGTTAGTTTTGCTGAGGTCTGTATCTGTGCTGTTGTTTTGCACACTCACTGACCTGAAAACAAGATTTTGTACTTTTCCATTGGCAAAGATTATTTGATCTGTGTTTATTCTGGATATGTTTGTTTAATTCCTCGTTTGAGCACTATCATAAATGATTAGGTCATTACTGCCCTGGGAAAAGAACTAGGTTAATAATTAACTTCTGCTTGCAAAGCTCTTCAACGGGTAAGAAAAAATACTGCAGATTGTATATGAATCATAGAAATGTAGAGTTGGGTGAAATCTCAAGGGGTTATGTAGTCTGCTATTCCTCAATATTTTTAATCAAAGATGTACCTAACCTTCCTGAGGTAAAATAAAAACAAACCAAAAATCCCACAACACAAAATCAAAGGAAACAAAGGTGTTTTGTTTGGGGTTTTTTTGTTTTGTTTTTAAAAAGACCAGAGAACAACATGTGCAATATTCCATAATAGCATATTAATGTGCCCAGAACCACACATGGTATTTTCAAACGCTTTCTTAGTGAAGATCTGTTATGGATTACCTTGCAAAAACTTGTACACTTTGTCACAGCTTCAGGGATTTTGGCCACCTAATACATTCATCTGGTCCATCTCCTAACCTTGAAGAAAGTACATAGTTGTCTTGATAACTGTGGATGGCAGTCCCTCTGATATGTATCTAAAAACAATAATGATAGAGATTATACAACCTTTTTGGGTAATATATTCAGCAATAATCTTTTCTTCTAGTTAGAACATGTTACTGTAATACCTATTATAGTACACCTAAAAAAAAGGTTTCCTCACATTCTGCCCATATCATTAGTGGGCATGAAAAAACATAGAACTACTCTCTTTATATTAGCCTTTTATGTACTCAAAGACTGTTGAACCCCACATAACCTTTTTTTTTTTTTTAGATTAAAACAAAACTAAAAATCTCAACCTTGCTTTATGGATCCAATTTTCCAAATTTCATCCTAGTTGATCTCTGGATTTCTTCCAGCTGATCTACATATTTCTTAAATTATGGTGCCTCAGAGTAAAACACTATTTTAGCTGAGGCCTTACCAGTGCCAAGAAGAGCATGCTAATTATCTCGTCTTACATTCACTGTTCATATACTGTTTCAAGCAGACAATTCAAG